CATAGATTGAGAGTTTATATTTAGTAAAATTCCTAATTGTAATAAAAAAAATAATTTTTGCTATATTTTAGAATATCTTTAAATTCATTATAAAAAAAAAAAAGAAGAAGAAAAAACTACAATGAAAAAAGCAAGTCAGCTATATATCGATTTGTTGTACTCCTCAAATCACATTTACAATTTGGCTACAAGAAAAGGAAATTCATTGATTAAAATATTATTTTATCAGTAGTCTTAATGTACAAGAGACTTTAAGACTCCACTTGAATATTATAAAACTTTTATTGAACATTGTACAATTTTCTTGCGTATTATAAATTTTTATTGAATATTGCATCTTATAATATAATATTCTCCAAATAAATATATCTCGTGCTTCGCACGGGTCACGTACTATATATATCCCGTACATTTTTCTTTATTCATGTATATAATTATAAGCCTGGATAAATAGCCTTAAAATTGTGCACCCCGTACATTGCACGGGCTCTGTACTAGTTCTGGTGATAAAACTTTCTTTATTTTAAAAATGCCACAAGCAAGGGGTAATGTTTTCTGCACTGGTAATAATTAATGTTGTCCCTCCTCCCTTTCAACTAGCATTTTGCGAGTTTCAGATTTTGTATAATCTTGGAGAATTTCATCTTCTATACTAATACTATAGTGCATTATCCTTGAGTCCGGAAGATAATATTAAAATTACATTATGAATAAAATATATAAATAACATGAATTGCATTTTACTGTACATATTAAAAGTTATAATAAATTATCATTCTGTTCACCTACCTATCAATAAAATGATATATAAATATTGATATATTATTGAAAATTTTCTCGTAAAAGGTATATTTGATTTGATTATTTGGACTATGTTATATTTATTGTAACAAAGTATTCTTAATATTGAATTTTATATGTAATTTTAATAATAGCTTTGGTTCAACCAGATTGATCTATGACATGCTCACCCCTAATGTAACTCAAGTTATCTCATACAATTCATTTTTTTTTTCTTAAATATATTTAATTTAGGAAATAAAATATTTATGAATTATATAAAAAAATAATATATTTTTTAAAAAAATCAATGCATAATTATATTAATTATTTTGTTATAAGTATAAACCTTTTTGTTTAACTATTAATGTAACGAATCTCCCGTATATATTAATTCAGAACGTACTGAGCTTAAGTGGCAAGCTCGCATGCTTCGGGATCCTATGTGGCAAATTATATGTTTCGTTATTAGGCTTATGTAGATTTTAATTTGCTTCCACACCAAAAATAATTAGGTCCGGTCTATCCATAAATATGTTGATTATTTATGGACATGTTACATGTATTAATTGAATTTTAATATCATTTCTTATTATAACTTTCAATTGTAAATCCCCCGTATATATTAATTCAGAACGTGTTGAGCCTAAGTGGCAAACTCGCATGCTTCGGGATTCTATGTGACAAATTATATGTTTCGTTATTAGCCTTAGATAGATTTTAATTTGCTTCCAATAAAAAAATAATTAGGTCTGGACTATCCAAAAATAATTAGGTCTGGATTATCCATAAATATGTTGATTATTTATGGACATGTTACATGTATTAATTGCATTTTAATATCATTTCTTATTATAACCATTGAATAGTAAATGAATTTTTATTTTTTCTTTTTTCGGAACGATAGAGATATTATAACACGAAGAGAAACAAATTACAAGGCCCCAACGGGGTAATCTACGGCCCCAACAGGGTAATGGGACAGAGGCCAACGGCCCAAACCAAAAACACACCTAAAACAACAAACAAGAACGACAAACTGAGAGGACACGCACAAGGCGGCCTAGAGACTCAAAAATCGAAAATAACGGAAGATGAACAACAGAGTCACTGCACAATGCCTAACCTGTCGACATCTCCGAAACAAAAACAACAAACACACAAAGCTGACCAAAAGGACTAACAACAAAACAAACTAAACAACAACGACTAAACGACTAAACAACCCTCCCCCGGAGAACCGACAAAACCGAATAAGCAGCTACAACCGACTCTAGGAAAGGCCCCTAGCCAAGCCCCGACCCCGGAAACTGCCGAAAGCCTAACACAAGGCGGGACTCCGCCCTCGAACCCCACCCAAAGGACGGAACCCGCAGACCGAGGGGACCGGCCAAGCAACCCCAACCGGAGCAACCTGAGCTAGGCTAACACCACTAGCCCGACTCAGGAATACCGGATCCTAAGCAACCCAACAACAGCTGCATTAGGATAGCCGCTTCCTGCCGGAACCCCAACCCCGACAACCACCTCGCACAACACGCAGCAGCCACCATCACCTCCCCTCGCCACCACAGCACAGTCTCCCTCCCACCCCCATCGCCAACCACCTAGTCGGAACCACCAACCACCAACCCAAACCCAAAGCAGCACCATGAACCACCAGCCCCAGGAACACAAAGGCCCGAGATGAACCCAAAAGGACGAAACCGCCTCGGAAATCTCGGACCCCCTGCGAACCCTAGCCCCCAAAAACTCACCCTGAGCCGAGCCACCACAATAACCGCAAGAGAGCAGCAATTGGGCATCCCAACCACCACGTGCAGCTTCCTCAGAGTCGGAATTAGACCAGAGCCACCGCCGGACCCTCTACCACCGACCACCGACGAAAAGGGGAGGTAAGGAAAAAAAACGCCATGGCAACAAAAAGGGAAGAAGAGACAGCAGCATAAGGGAGGGGCGGTCAGCGGCGGCCGCAGGATCAGCCTCGCCGCCGCCGGAAGAGGGCAAATCGGGAGATAAAAACGAGAAGCCGGAAGATGGGTTTTATCGCCGGGAATCGCAAGAGGTTATCGAATCTGTGTTATAGTAAATGAATTTTTAAAGTTAATAACTTTTGTATTTTTTATCAGTTTTATATATATATAATATATCAAATTATCATCTCTTGATGAGTTTTGATTTAATATCCATATTGTATGTATAAAAAAAAAACAAATCATATTGATTTTTGTAACAATAATAAAATTGTTTTTTAATATTAATTAGAAAAATAAAATTATTTTTCAATTAATATATTTATATTTCAAGTAGTTATATGATATAAGTTATAAAAATTACTATAATATAACACATGTATGTCGCACAAGTAATAAGTCTCATTCTAAAATATATAATATTATATATTTTTGTAAAAAAATAAATAAAATTTAAAATAATTATTTTCATTAATTTTAAAATTTAAGAATCATTTTTAACAAGTACCCGTGTAATACACTGGTGTTGTACTAGTATATTATTACATCCTAAACCGAGGAATAAGCTTTTTGGCGTAATACAATTAAAAATAAAATGCTGTTTAATATAAATATTTTGAAGTGATAAAAATGTTAATTCAAAATGTAGAAACGAACAGGTATCCGAAGTGAAATATGTAGCCCAATTTGAAAAACTATGTGGCTTAATTAATAGTTTACTTATTCTTGTTCACAATATAATACTTAATTATTATTTTATTATAAACTTTGTTTTCATATAATGTCATTATTATTTATAAAAATTATAGAAGTCGTACGTCTTTTCTTTTTTATTTTATGTAACGACAAATGTTTAATACACGTTAGTATTATTTATTTATGTACTAAATTTAAAATATGTAAATAAATTTAAAATTAAATAATGTATAAATATTTAACCAAATATACACACATACTTTTTTAAAATTTAATTTTGTATACTAATTAAACAACTTTGTTTTATCAAATGACCAAAACCTCAATCCCTTCTATAATTAAGATTTTCCTAATTTGCATTATAGGTATTCATAGTTTATTTAGCATACTTTGCAACAAAAATATATTTTACAAGAACTTCATTACAAAAAGAGATCAAACTAAAAACAATAATAAAAAATTAATCATGGTTGCCAATAATATACAAAAATAAAAATAAAAAAAAAAATCTAAAGAAATATTATGGTTAGAACATAAAATATGTTGTAATATTTATCTTGATCAAAATATTATCAACATGAATCACGTAAAATCAATCTTGTAATTTATTATAGTGGATATCAATGAAATTATTGCAGATATTAATAAAACTATTTAAGGAAACTATATTTTTTTATCATATCTGATTTAATCTTATTTGAAAACGGATATATGAAAACAATTAATGCATATATTTAAAAAGTTTTCAAAAATATGTATGTATTAAATGCTCCCAAAATTTTTTACTACTATTTCTAGTAAATGGTTATCCCTCCCTACATATTTAATTCAAAATGTGTTGAGCCTAAGTGACAGTTTCACATGCTTTGAATGCTTATATGGTAAAAATCTATGCTCGGAATGTTGTTTGTATATTAATTTTTTGCTTTGGAATCAAACTTGATATAGACATAAATAACTTTTTTCGAACTTGGTAAGTGTACATTTAATTTTGTTATTTTTTCTTTCTCTTAGTACAAATTTCTTTCTTAATTTGGACAAGTAACAATCTTATCATCTTATAATTTTCTCTCATATTTCTCTTTTAAATTACGATTTACAAATTACTTTCGGCACTGTCTATTCCTCTCTTTTTTTTTTCATTAAATAATTTATCAAAAATTTTAAATAAAATTTTATTCAGCAATAACTTTTATAATTTATTTTTTAATTCATTCCCGTGCAGTACACAGTCTTATACTAGTTCTTATTAGATAGATATATAGAGATAGATTACATGGATTTACATTTCATCAATATGTTAAAACTTTACTTCTTTCAAAAAATTAACATTTGAGATGCTATAAAGGACGGCGTAAGCCAGAGTCTAGCAACTAGAATCTGAGAATAAAAAAAAAAAAATCATTGAAAAAATAGTGTTGCAAATAAGAACTATGGTCATAAATGTGAATTTAATATCTTCACATAAAGTTAACCGACTTATGAACATACCACAAGAAACATTAGGTACGATTAAATGAAAGGTAATAAAAAAAAAAAATAAAGTGTAAGAAGGACCATGCCATGGGAAACCAGGAAACTAGAAAACATTTAAAGAGTGAGACAGAGAGTCCGCCGCCAATCATCATCAACAGAGCTGTTAGCCATATATATAAAAATGGTGGAAGCCGTTATCTGTCCCTATTTCTTCTCCACGCTTCCCCTTTTCTTTTCTTCCCTTAATTATTCATATTCATTTTTCTTTGATTTCCTTCTTTCCTTTTGCCTTTTTTGTCCATATAATAATCATCTCCCTCACATTCCTGTCCCTTTTTTCACGTCCTTAAGAAGCTATAGATTTCCAGGTACACAGTTATTTTCTTCATATATGTATATTGATTTGTACGTTGGTAATTCGAATTTCGGATTGGGGAGCAGATGGAATTCGGAATATTAGTATGAATTCTTTCTGTTTTGATTGTGTCTGAGCATGTATTATGTGTTCTTATTCCATGATTGCGTGTCTGATTCATATATGAACGGGAGAATTTTGATTGTTTTAATGCGTTCTTATGTGTTCTTAGTCCATGATTGCGTGTGTTATTCCTATGGGAGAATTTTGATTGTTCTTGCAGCTTTGTTTGCGACTTGGTTTTATTGTTGTTTTACTTTTTGATTAATTAGGTACGTTATTTTGACGCTCTTAGTTCTGTTTAGCTCTCGGGAGTTCGACTTGCCAATGACCAAGCCAGTGAGACCAGTGTTTGCTTATAAGCCATTTTATTTGTCCGGAATATATTTTTTTCCTCTAAAGATGTTTCCTAACCTTTTTAATCCTGAAATATGGCCAAGTTGCTTTATAAGAATATAGTTTGGGTTCAACTTTGTGATTATTTAGCTCAGGTTTGTGTTATTTTTCGTTGGAGGCAAGAAATCTGTGCTCGTTTTCCTATAAGACTTGGCTGGAGCTGTCTTGATATTGGACTTTAGCAAATATACAACTTGATTCATTCCATAAGAAGAATCTGGCAAGATATGTGCCTCGAGGTCTGTAATGATTTTCTCGAGCAAGTATAAAATTTGGCTGAAGTTAACAAAGCAATTTGACACAAAAGATGTAGTTATTTAGCTTGGTCGTGTTTTATTCTTTGACTCGGCTTCTTATCACTTCGCTTGAGCATGTATAGAACCAATCGGAAGTCTAGTATTTGCACGTACTTAGTTGAGAGTATTTTCCTTCTTACTAAGTTGTGAAAATAAAATCTGATGCTCATAGTGTTATCTTTGATTTAGTGAAGAATTAATTTGTTGTCCAGATTATGTAATGAAGTTGCAAAGTTTGATCAAGTTTGAGGCTAATTATAATATTCCTGGAGTGGACTTTTAGGCAATTTTCCGTAGGTTATATGTAATTAGCAATTGAATCACCTGTTCAGTTATTGCTATTTGCTGTTGGAATAGCTAATAATAATCGTAAATATTCTTATCCACCTTTATTTGATTCATTTCCTGGATTTTCAAGAAGTACAGCATGCAAGGGTTTCCAGTATGTGTGAGCACGAGTTACTTGAATATTTCCCATGGCATTCTTGCAGTTATTAGACTAAAACTCTTCAATTGAAAATTTGTACTCTTACAAATGATAGAATGTATAGAGCTGTGTATCAACATAGTTTGAGCTCCTTTGCTATGGAACATCTACATATACTCTTTTTCCCAGCTACCTGGCCCAATCATGGCTATGAAACTAATGAATCTTTGGTCTCAATTTACCTACAGAACAAGGTTTCTCAATTTACCAGGGCTTGACGTGAGCAGAGGAATTAATATCAAGTGACATATACGAGTTTGGCACGCATAGTTCTGCAGTTTTTACTAATTTTTCTTACAAAAACCTTTGAGATATGAGGCTGCAGAGAAAGGTTATACAGTCGTTGACATGACTAAGCCGCTAAGGACGATCATAGTCTTTCTGATGTTCAGAATTGACTGGAGAAAACTTTTTCTTGTCTGCTCAATTCTGACCATAGGCAGTGTCTTGGTACAGATCTCTTCACTGCCATATCCACTGACCCAATGGATTTCCCCACCACGCCTCGTGATTTCATCATATAAACCCCTCAACACCGAACTACACTTGGGCGAGACTCATTCTTCAGCAATTGGGGTACCCCTTAAAACCACTCGAGATGCCCCTTTAGTGGTGTCGCCTAATTCTTCTGCCAAACTCAATCAATCTACAGTTATGAGTAGAAAGGAAAGAAGGGCATCTCGACGAAATAGAAGGAGAAGTAACAGTGTAAAGTCAACCAGCATGCTCTCACCGCCATCTGCACCCCGTAAAAGACTCCCTCGTCAACTGGAGGTGCATATCATTTTACTTTTGACGTTAATTTTTTTTTTTTTTTAAATTGAAGTTCTTGTTCAGGTTTATTTTTTCATGAACTTATTTTTGATAAAGTTGTTTGATGTTTGTAGAGACATCTANTCTGTTTGTGTAAGGTAAGCCTTGTGAAAAAGCATTGCAAACATGAAGAAGTTCCAGTTTGATAATCCAAGCATCTAGTTGAAGAAAATTTGTTACTATGTGAGGTGCAAACAAGGTGAAATTAGGGCTGGAAATGAAGTAAAGAAAATAAATAAATAATAAATAACAAAGTGACATACTTACCATAAGTCCAGCCAAGTGAGTTGTGAATGGACTGAAGGAGAGGATAAGGTGGTGCCGTGGTGGCAGGGGAAACGAATTCACATGTCTAGCTTATGTGCTCTTTATTCTCCATGTTCCATCATTTGTGATGTTTTTATCTGCAAATTACTGTAAGTGGGTGTGAATTGAGTTGGATTAGAAAAACTATTGGTGGGAATTGGGATCTTTTATCCTATTTGAAAATTACGCGGGATTTTGATGGCATTTTATGAGAAACGAATTTGATAAGAAAATACTAATAAAAAGTTGATCAGATGTTAAACCGTTATGATGCCGTTAAGCCAATATAGTTAATACTTATCGATTATATAACTACGATCATGCTTTGGCGCCGCACCCCTTTTCTACAGAATAAAAATGGTGAAATACATTTTCCTCCTGTGATGATTTTTATTGTCTTGAATAATATGAAATTCCAGGAGCTATGAATGGATGGAGTGGATATTAAAAGTTTACATTTATCCAGATGGTGAAAGCCCGATATTTCATCAGCCTCAGCTCACGGGAATATACTCGTCTGAAGGATGGTTCATGAAGCTGATGGAAGAGAATAGGCAGTTTACAACAAAGGACCCGGAAAAGGCTCACTTGTTCTACCTTCCGTACAGTGCTCGCCAGTTGCAGACGGCTCTATACGTTCCTAATTCACATAACCTGAGACCATTGATAGCATTTTTGCGTGACTATGTCAACAGGCTTGCTGCCAAGTACCCTTACTGGAACCGTACTCATGGCTCTGATCATTTCCTTGTTGCCTGCCATGATTGGGTATGACAATTACTTGCAATTGCATGCATCTTCATATGTTAGATTTGAAAGGTTGCTATTTTCTTATGTCCATGGTCAGATGGATTTATTGGGGAATGAGACTTCCCCTTCTCAGAACTGCATTTTGTCTAAAAAAAAAAAAAAAATTATAAATACAGTCAAATTTCAAAATATAGCCCAACCTCAATATTTTCTCCATTCATTTGTGCCAGATATGATCCTGTTTGCTTGGGAACACTCGATGCTTCTTCTTTGTCGATGCTTCTTCTTTGTCTTTTTATTTGTTTAATTATTTTTTTCCATTGAAAGTTCATCCTCATTTTCTATCATGGTGAATGTGATAAAAACAAATATGCCAACGTCACAGACTTTTCTGTTTCTAGCTATCTTGAATCTCAAAACTTGATTTTCTATCATTCTCATGTTTCTATATGATTTTGCTGCTCCGCCTCATTTTCATTCGATCTCTTATGACTGTCTTACAATCACTGAATTCGGGTGGCACTGGCTCGCTTGTTTACTAAATAATATGTCCAAAATGAGTTATTTTGTTTGACTAGAGTCAACTTCGAAAAATGTGGTATAGTCAGTTGTTAGTGGAGGTTTTAAGAACGCATTGAATAATATTTAAAATAAAACAATTAAAATTGATTCGATGTAAAAGTCGGAGATAAATGATTTGAAACTGATTGGAAATGATAGGTATAGTTAAAATTACGTGAGTGGGAATACCAGTAAATTAAAGCTGATGTGATGTGTAAGAATGATTGGTATATATTATCTAATTACATGAATAATATTAAAGATAGTGGGTTGGATTAAAGTTGAGTCAGATTTTGAGTATTAACTTAATGAGAGTGTGTTTCAATTGCAATGCCTTAGGGCCCGTACACGCTCAAGGGCCACGACGAGCTCATACGCAACACCATCAAAGCCCTATGCAACGCCGACGTCTCCGAACACATCTTCATCCCCGGAAAAGACGTCTCTCTCCCGGAGACCACAATCCGCAACCCAAAACGTCCTCTGAGGTACATCGGAGGCAACCGCGTCTCGCAGCGGCCGATCCTCGCCTTCTTCGCTGGAAACCGCCACGGCCCCGTCCGCCCCATCCTCCTCAAGCACTGGAGCAACCGCGACGACGATGATGTCATGCGCGTGTATGGCCCGCTTCCCAACCGGGCCTCGCGAGTGATGTCATACCCACAGCACATGAAGTCGAGCAAGTACTGCCTCTGTCCCATGGGTTTCGAGGTCAACAGCCCCAGGATTGTGGAGGCGATATATTACGAGTGTGTGCCGGTTATTATTGCTGATAATTTTGTTCCTCCGTTGAACGAGGTTCTGAATTGGGACGAGTTTTCGGTGAGGGTGGCAGAGAGGGATATCCCGAGGCTGAAGGAGATTCTGCTGGGGATACCTATGAGGAGATATTTGGTGATGCAGGGGAATGTGAAGAGGCTGCAGAAGCATTTTTTGTGGAATGCGAAGCCCGCTCGTTATGATTTGTTTCATATGATTCTGCACTCGATATGGACCAGCAGGCTCAACCGGGTTCAGGTACCGCGCAAATATACGTCTACAGGTGATGCTGAATCTTGAATTTGTTACCGTCCTGTAAGTTTAGCATATATACTTAGATTACTCTTTAA